CGAGGATAAATACTTTGAAATCGGCGGTAAGCTTTCTCTCAAACCCGAGTCTGTCCCTGGAGAAGGAATCACCGAAATCACCTGGAAATTTAACAGARACMTTGTAGCTGAGTGGTTTRACGGCGWCACTCWGAGTTTTGGCGCTTTCRAAGGCCGAACAGATCTRGATACGACCACCGGAGAGTTGACCATCARATCCWTGACAAAGGCCGATGAAGGAATCTTCTCTGTGGAGATCAACTCTAAAGTCCAGCCTGTTGAATATTCTGCCAGGGGGATCACACATTTACGTGACAAGAAGGTTGAAGTCCTGCTGAGACCTGTGGCGTGCACCTTCAGCTCACCTCAGTGTACCCTGAGCTGTCAGGCAGATGTTGCAGATGTTGGACCTGTTCAGTACTTCTGGCAGCAGGACGAAGGACAATGGAAGGAGCTGCAGAAGGACATGATCATCACCAGAAATGAGGAAACACGACTGATCAAAACATTCAGCTGCAAAATAAAGAATCCCATCAGTGAGAAGAACAGTGAACCTCTGGAGAATCCTTTCATCAAAAAGCCAGAAGAACAGAGTCATGTTGGTCTGATTGTTGGGATTATTTTCCTGTTGTTTTTAATATTGGCAGGTGCGGCACTTTCAGTGTTTGCCTACAAATATCCAGAGAAAGTTGCACCTTGTCTACCCTGTGTTGCTGGACCTCCTGATCAACATCCCACTGAAGAATCTCCAGATGATGGAGAAAAGAGAGAGGTGGTCTCCAACAAGACTCCTGAAGAACTTGAAAGCCATGATATGACCCCTCTGAAAGGTCCTGAGACTGGGACCTCCAACGGGACCCCTGCTCCACAACATATTGGCAGCAGTGTGACGGTACATCTGGACACAGAGGCCAACACCGAGACCAAATATCCAGAGGAAATTGCACCTTGTCTACCCTGTGTTACTGGACCTCCTGATCAACATCCCACTGAAGAACCTCCAGATGATGGAGAAATGAGCGAGGTGGTCTGTCTGAACACAGAGTCTGAGATCGAGACCTCCAACAAGACTCCTCCAGACCCTGATGAAAGCAGTGAAACGACCCCTCTGAAAGGTCCTGAGACCTCCAACGGGACCCCTGACCAGTCATGAATCTGTGGATCTGTCCAGCAGCTTCTCTTTGGGAAACTGAACATTCCTCTTCTGTTTATCTGCAAAACCTTCTTTGGACAAACATTTTTACTGGATTTTATTTTTTCTGCCTCAATGATAATCACATGAAGTGCCTCACAGCCTGGGTTTTAATGCTTTTATTATCATGACTTTTTTCATTATTGATTGTTTTTAAATCCATAATCATGTAGAAACAATCTTTGTTTCTTGACTAAAAGTAAATCATGACTTTGCAGCGTTTAGACAATGAGGAAATCAGATTGTGGTCAGAGAAGGTGGGGTCTGCTGTCCCCCCTCAGTGATGGTCTGACTGCTGCACACTGGATCATTGACATGAAAATCACTCACAAACTTGCCTGTTTAAATAGCAAAAACAATGAATGTGAAGTGTTTAAATACTTGAAATTTTTTTAAGTACCACTGGTGAGCAAAGGCCTGAGTATTTTGTATTATAATTTTTATTAAGTTTGTCACATTCTGTGTTAGATGAAAATACATTGTACATTGTCAGTTTATAAAACATGTTTGCATTGCCACAAAAGACAACTGCTGCAGAATGATTTTAAAATACAGTTTTTTACAGTCTTTATAATGCACTCATGTTTTTTTTTTCTGTTTGATATTGCTGTGTTTTAATTGAAATAGTTTCAAGGTGCCTTATATCATTAGCAACATTTATTAAGTTTAAATTTTGTCAAGTGTTATGAACAAGTGAAACGTGCCTTTAAAATAAAACATGTTGCATCACGTACTCGTTTCTCTGAAGCTTATAATTGATTAGATGTGGGC